GAAACTGGGAGTCTTCGTCTGAGAGAGAAGTCAGCCTTAACCCCCGTAGCTTGAAGGAGAGGGGCATCAGGTGTCACACACAGGAAACAGCATTTCCACTGGTGGCTTCTGAACCGAACCAGCTGCCACAACCAGGTTGGGAGAATAAGGGTCCCAGGAGCCCTTGCTCTCACAGACTTCTAGTCTTGTCTGTCTAATTTGGCAGCTGATGTTGACGCTGAAGAGACAGAAGGCTGGAGTGTGTGACTGACAGAAATGCCTCTAGGGTAGAAAGACAGTAGGATTGTAACTTAGGAAGCATGTCAGCTCTCCCCGTCCCCTCACACATGCTGCTGCTGGGGAGAAAGTGTTCCACACAAGGCCGCTGCCTCAGCAGTGGGCACAGACACAATTACCCTTCTTCCAGGCAGAAGCATTGCTTTAGCTTGGCTTGTGGTGCTGTGATCAAAAGCAACTGGGAGAGGAAAAGGCTTATTTCAATTTACCCTTCCAATCCTTCAGGAAGAGAAGCCAGGGCAGGGACCCAGAGGCAGGAGCTGAAGCGGAAGCCATGGCAGGATGCTGCTTGCGAGCTTGGTCCTCACAGCTTGCTCTGCCTGCTTTCTCATACCACCCTGACCGAATGCCCAGGGTTGGCACAGCGCACAGTGGGCTAGGCCCTCCCGAGTCAGTCAGTCAGTCAGTCAATCAGGAAAATGCCCTATAGGCTTCCTTAGAGGCAATCTGATGGAGGTATTTTCTCAATTGAGTTTCCTCTTCTCAGACAACTCTGGCTTTGTGTTAAATTGAGAACAAACTAACAAGAGAGGGTGTTTCACTTTAACATAAACTGTGTGTTACGTTATACCAACATCGTAGTATTTTCTAGGAAGAAGTGAGAAGCGATGCCTGGGGATTCAGCCTGGAAGACTACCTATAGGTCGGTCTCTAGTGAGCTCTGCCACATTGTCCGAAATCACAGCTGTGAGGAGCAGAGTCCCTGCCTGAATGCAGGACCCTGGTCCTCCTTCCTGGAAAGTGCTGGGACGTCAAAAGACTTCCAACGTCTGCTGTCCTCGGCAAGCGCTAAGGCACCAAGAAGACAGAAATGTCGTATTTCTTGGCCCTCTTCACATCCCTACTGCGAAAGATGAATTTTACCCAGAGAGAACCTAGCTTTGACTTGATTTCAGCCCATTCCCACTGTGCCTAACAAAGCTGAAAGCGCCTTGCTGAGTAGAAAGAAGCGATCGGCCGTGATCAGCAGTGACGCTTCGGTGGTCTCACAGCAGCGTTCCCTTGGACCACGGGGAAGCTACTTAACTTCTCTGAATTTATTTATGTCACACGCAGCACTGACACAATGATAACACGCAATAAGCGAGAAGTGTTTGCTCTCTGGCTAACATTTTTTCCGTTGAAATTAATTTTTATTTTCTGCTGAGCGCCAGTCCAGAGGCTAGCCTAGGGGAAGAGGAACTGAGCTGTGGCGGTGAGGAAGGGGTCAGACCACGAGAAGCTCAACCTTACCCACAGGCTGGATAAAACCCTTAAAACACAAAGCCGTGTGCGGACAAGCTCGAGGGCAGGGCCTCTCTGTGTGCACCCCTTTTGATCCTCCTGAGTGCAGACTTCCCTGCAAATCTCTATTTCACGCCAAAGTCCTGCTGAGTCCGTTAGCTGTACTAGCGGAGTGTTTTTGAGACTGTGGGTATGTTATCAGGGACTTCACCGATGGGAGCTTTCAAACAGTCCCGAAGTGTAAAATGCTCTCCAAACAGCTGATGTCATCTCCAGTGAGGTTTCCTCATTCTCCCTCCAGTTTGCCTCCTCCCGCAGATTGCTGTACTTAGGGTATCAGCAACTTTATTCATTCACTAAATGCTAAGGATATTTTGAAGGACAGAATTGCATTGCCAACAGAAGACGTCTTAGAAATTTGGGATTGTGGTGTCTTAAAGCAGGTTATTCTTCTTGTCTATACAAATCCAATGTTGAACAGTTTATAATCATGCTGAATGTTCACACACACACACACACACACGCACACAAATAGTCGAATTTTCACAGACAGGTTCACGGAAGTTGAAGATGACAAAATGGAGCCTCTAGTAAAACCAAACAACAAACCCCCAAACATAACAGAACAACAACAAACAATCCAGGGAACTGAGGCTCTGTGGAGGGTGTGAGATCAGCTCCCAGCACAGGTGCCCCATCGCTGCTGGAACTCCGACACCAGAAGATCTGCCGCCCTCTTCTGGCCTCTGGGAGCACTGCACTCACATGAACAAACCCACACACATACACATAATCCAAACGAAGGACGGAGTGAACTTCTGAGTCAGGCATGGTGGTGCACACCTGTAATCCTGCACTCAGAAGCTGGAGACAGGACAAGCAGAAAGTCCAGACTAGCCTCAGCTACACGTGGAGTGTGAAGCCAGATTGCACTAAATGAGACTCTTGTCTCAAAAACCAACAAAAATCTACATTAGAACTCCATGGCCATGGACTTTGGGTAATAATTCTGTTGTCACTGTCTAGAGCTTGAACATGGTGAGGATTTCATCCTGGTGATTATCACCATTACTTCTTACAGAAAACATCCATGCTGTGCCTTTGGCAAAATCACCATATAATAGTGTGTAACATTCTAAATAACGGGAAGAGTGAAATGGAAAAAATATATTTTATAGGATGAATATTTCTGATAGTTAGAGAAAAGCCAGCTCTCCTTAGGAACTCATGAAACCAATTCCCATCTGCTAAAAGGAGTCATTTTCCTTAGCTCTGTAGAAGGGACATGGCTACCTGTGGTGCCTATCAGCATAGCAAAGCTCACGCTGGCTCTCAGGCTCCCATAGTATCTGCCTGTTACATGTTTCAAAGTCCACGATAGCATCCTGGCCTTTCTCACCTCCTCTGACACTTAGCTCCCTCCGGCTCAGGGGATTCCCTCCTCCCAGCATCCTTCTTAGAACCCGCTATTCTCACCACCTGCCCCCACACTGCTGTCCGTCTCCTGCTATCTCACTATCTCCAGCTATTTCCTCTCTAGCTCTCCCAGGCCCTTAGCCTTGGCCATGTCCGGTCTGTTGGCTGTGTTTAGGCTACTTTTTTTCTTTCTTCTGGGCTTCTTCAGATGCCTCTGCTGTTCTTTGTCTCATATCTATGATAAAAATCTTAACTGTCTTGCCGAGTGGCCATGTCTGCAGCTCCTTCACTGCACCCCCCCCAAATACAATTACCAACCATGTCGAGTTAGCCAATTAAAAGTATTAAGTCCTTTTTATTCATGGTCAGAGCAAGAGCAGCCTTGTGTCTCTGTAAAGTCCCTTCGTGCCCAGGCTCAGGGGTACAGAATTTTTAAGGCAAAACCCACAAGAACCATAATTGACATCAAAGTTAGATGAAGATCAGGCAAACCTTGAAATGTTCATTCCTGGCAGAGCATAGTAATTATTTTAGATATAACAGGTCAATTATTTTTAAGTTATTCTAGTTTCCTTTTATTTTGGCTAACATGTCAAGGCCATGGACATCTCAATTGTACTGCTGATGGACCCGACTGATTCCATTTTAGGGTAAAAGTCCATTTTGTTATGAGTTCAGAATAAGTGGGTTCTATTTGCTATAAAATTCAAGTTTGACTCGCATAGACTCTACCCTAATAAAATAAGGTGTTCTGACAAGGAATCTTGAAATGTTCTGCCAAGATGAGCTGTCAAATAATCTAATCTGCTATCTGCTTCTGTAAGATTCACTTGTACAGTCCGTGTGTTAGCACACCCCCAGTTTACACTTCTTCCCATGTAAAAGGAGGCCTGAAAAGCTGACCCACATCGTGTTCTCCAAAGCCGCTCTGGAGGGTCCATCCTATGCATAGTGAATATGGCTTTAGTTTGGTGGTTTCCGTTCTCAACACTGCCAAGGCAGTTGTGACTGCTGTTGGGGGTAGGCAGAGAACTACCTAAACAAACACAGACTGGAACCAGAACAAGATGACGCTACCTTAGTCATTTCAAAGAGACTCGAGGTATCTGCTGCAAGGCCACTGTGTGTTCCGTCTGGGACGAACCTTGTGTTCCTGTTGTACAGCATTGCTTGATTAACCTTCTGTTGGCTTGGTCCCCTTCCTCCCCTGAAAATAGCATATATAAGACACAGCTCACTCAAGACCTCCCAATGCCAAGTGAAGCTATTTCCTTATCTTCTGACCTCCTGGTGCTCTCTCTCAGGACCTGTCACTGAAGAAAGTGACCTATTGTCCTGATCAAAATATGCAATATCCAATTTTATGCTGCACAGATCCCCTTTTCCGATTTAAGGTTTACGACAACATTGCGTAGAGGACACGAGGTCCCCGAGCTCACAGATGGCACCAGAGACACCAGAATAGTTAAACACACAGGCTTTCTCTTCAACAGAAGAAATCGGCACCTGTTCACCCAGAAGGCCAGAGCAGATGTTCCTGATAACCTCGTGATGTTTTGCTGTTCTGTGAAACCAGCCCTCACCCCAACCGCCCTTACCCTGAGCATTGTTTCTGTCAGTAGAACCCATTCTTGTGGAAGAGGTCACAGGTGCTTTGCAAAAGAATACACTTTGCAAGGGAGTTTCGAAGTTGTCATGCCGTAAGCTTTTTAAAATGGTAATTATCACAGGAAAATGTCCCTGTCCCCCAACCCCAAATTCACTGTGTTTAAATATCTGAAAACCAAAACGCCTGGAGTCAGACTCCAGATGTTTGAAGCAGCCTTGCTAACTAAGTCATGCTGAGCCCAGTTTCCTTCTAACCTCATGCTGACTGTGACACTTGGTTTTCTGTGACATTTGGTTTTTCCCTTAAAAACCCCGTTCCCTTGGCGCTGGCTGTTGCTCTCCCATCCAGTGGTGTCAGAAAGGACTGCGACCCAAGCTCAAGCCTGAATAAAGACCCTTGTGTGTTTTGCTTTGGACTCATGTTCCTGGTGGTCTCTTGGAGGTCTTGTGACATAGGCGGAACATTTGGGGGCTGGTCCTGGGTTCCCCCAAACCTCCAGGACCCTGACGTGGAGGATGTTGTGCTGGCTGGTAAGTGTCTCCGTGCAGTGTCTGTGTTTGTGTTTACTCTCGGTTTTGAAAAGCCTGGAGGTGTCTGTATCTGTGGCACGACGTGGCTAAGAGCGAACCCACTAGACAGTTAAAGCCATTGGGGTCAGGGAAACCGTGCCTGGCCCTGGGGTGGACGAGGGATCTGACCGTCAGTTGGGGAGATTTTCGGTGGAGGACAGAGAGCCCCGCCGTGGGTTTCTCTCCTCTCTGTGCTGCTTTCAGTTTCCGCAGCAGGAGTCTGTGAGTCTGAGTTTTTGGATTCACTTCTCTTTCCAGTCTCGGTGTGGCTACTTTTAATGTGTTTGCCTTTGTTTTGTTCCTTGTATTTGTGCGTCTTTGTTTGTATTGGACCGTGACGGACGCTATGGGACAGACTGCTTCTAACTCCCTAGACTTAACTCTTACCCATTTCTGGGAGGCCCTAGTCTAGCAGGTCTCTGACAATGCTCTGGTCTCTGCCACTACTCAGGTCTCTGGTGGCAGAGGTCTTCTAGAGTCGGGTTGCTTGGGAATGCAGCCCACCCACAGAAAGGCTTCTGTGCAGGCAGGCAGCTCTTTTTTTTTTCTTTTAAAAAATTTTTATGTTAATTACAATTTATTTGTTTTTGTATCCCAGCGTAGTTCCCTCCCTCATTCTCTCCCAATCCCACCTCCCCTCCCTCCCTCATCTCCTCCCATGCCCCTCCCCAAATCCATTGCTAAGGGAGGTCCTCCTCCCCTTCCATCTGACCCTAGCCTATCAGGTCTCATCAGGACTGGCTGCATTGTCTTCCTCTGTGGCTTGGCAAGGCTGTTCCCCCCTCAGGGGGAGGTGGTCAAAGAGCCAGCCACTGAGTTCATGTCAGAGACAGTCCCTGCTCCCCTTACTAGGAACCCACTTGGATACAGGCAGCTCTTAAAGAGGCAACAGCAGCTTCTCAGGAAAGAAAGCTACAAGCCTCTATGGTCATAAGAATTGGATTCAACAGGTAGCAAGATGTTCCTCCCTTGAAATTACAGCTAAAAGAAGTAAAAATAAGTTTTGTCTGTATGTTTTGAATATGTAAGTTTACTACGTTTTGCATGTCTTGTGCTGATTATTGGTTATTAAGTATGTTAAGGTTTTACATGATTTCTGTCCTGTCTTAAAAACCAGGTTTATAAAAAATAAGGTTTGAAACTCTGTTTATATGAGATGTTAAAGCTGCATCTCCATGTGTTTGTACACAAGAACTTTTCTTGCTGGTAACCAAAGTTTATAACATCAAAATAATACACTTGGTATTGATTTTAGAGGCACTGAATTGTTTACATGGATAAAATTTGGTTTTGACTTCTAAAAACTATGGTTATGCTCTATGATTTCACTCTGAGTATTTTAATATTTTAATGCTGCAAAAACAGGCTTTGGAGAATGTTTAGGGCTATAAAACATTTTAAAGTTCATCAGGTATTTTAAAATAATGAGCTTGGGCAATCTAACAAAGAACTTGGAACAGTTTCTCAACCCTTTGGCGTTGTCAAAACACCTTGGTATTTATTTTATCACTTTTGCCAAGTGAAACCAAGCCATACTGTTTAAGCCAATTAAGAAAACTGCAGCTTTTACAGTATATCATGGCAGGATGATAAAAACCCATGGAATGACTTAAGAGAGAAATGGAAGTTTTTATGTTGTCTGAAAAGCAAGGGAGACAGCAAGAGACTGGGATAATAAAGAAAAGAAAAGAATATCTTGTCGAAAGTAAAAATATCTGGTTAAACCAGAGGAACGGAGCTAGGAAAAGCCTAACTTGGAGGTATATAGAATGTTATGGAAGGTCAGGGTATGTATAGAAAGCCAGAGGGCATTTGAACTGTATTTGCTTTGGTTTCTCATACCTGCAAATATGATTTGAGAAGAGCTGTAAAAATGTTGTTCTTCATTTAAAAGGCTGGTGATTCTTCAATGCAAAATGTTTGCTTATGTTCTTTAAAGGGGGAAGAAGACTGTAGCTCCATGTTAGCCCAGGGTTTTACAGAGTCATAATCAAGTCATTGTTAACCATTATAGGAAATATATGCCCGACAGCCAGTTCCTATGTATATGATTTAATGCTGTTTCTTTCTGGCCGATAGGTTTGGTATGGCCAGAATCATCCATCTTTGCTGAGGGCTGCCAGCTGTGTTTAGTTCTCTGTTTAGTGCTGAGTCAAACTTTTGTCCTTTAAGCTTTTTGCTGTTCAGTTTTAATTCAATGTGGGAGGATCAGCAAGATTTGCTAGGCTCTCTATGTATTTGACTGAAAGTTTTGCTTTGACTTTAGTTCAGAAAGATATTTAAAGTCATGCTAATGACTGAAGTTGGTTACAAGATTGAGCTTTACATGGTCTCTTGTTTATGTTTTCAAGATTAAGCCTAGGATGGGTAACTACAAAGTTTGCTTTTGTAGATCTACTTGAAATAGATGTGGTCCTAAAACACTTATCTAAGGAATATGTCAGAATTAGAGATTATAGCATTCTGTTTTACAGGATGCAGTTTAGAGCAGATGATGAAAGATAGACAAAGAGTAACTTATAGGCTGGCCCTTCAGCTTGTCAGAGATCTGTGGAAGATGGCATGCTAACATGTGTAAGCTTATTATGACAGAAAGTCCTAGCAGTAGCTCCCCAAGGTCTCCAAGAAGATTTGGGCAGAACAACAGATGACTGCGACTCTGTATGGTCGTATGCTAACCACTGGGCAAGACTGCCCCAACTGGCCCAACGCTAGGGCCCAGCCTAAACTGTGGACAGAGCTGTGGACACCTGGAGAGTCATTGTTTCACATTGCTGAAGGCAAGGTGAGATCCGTCTCTCATGTTCTTCTTTTCCACAGAAACAGTCTTTCATCTGCTAGGCCCGATGGCTGGACCACCTCTGCTCATGATGCCGTGAGACCACAGGAGCCAGGGACAACTGCTTTGGTGGTGGACTGACTAGTCGTCTCTGTCATTTTGATTGGTACATTCATTTAGCTTATAATTTATCCTTCTCAGGTCTCTGATCACATTGATGGCTAAGCTAAGCCAATGGTAGCTTTGCAGCTAAAGAGCAGACAATTAGATCTACTGTTAGTTCATTGGTCAATTTATTAGCTAGTTAGAACTGCTAGGTACTAGATCTCTTATTTAGAAAGGCAAAGAGGTTTGCCTTGCTCACAGGCTTCATGTGTCTTTTGGTGAATAACTGGATAGAAAGATGTAAAGTTTATATAAGGTCTGAGGATATAAAAGTTTAAGTTATAAAGATGTAAAAGATTGGAGGGTCTAAGTATAAATAGATGTTTTAAAATATATGAATATAAATTATAATGATATAAAAATAATTTAGGGTATATTAAAATGGGAGATATTTCAGATTTCTCCCCTTCTATGCTATTGTTTTGCTTATGTTGTTATAAGATTTTAGAAGTTCAGAGCTTTGACGTTGATCAAGAGAGTTCTGATAAGCTGATGGAGCCCTGACTGCTTGTACTGGCTGGTTTGTGTGTCAACTTGGCACAAGCGGGAGTCATCACAGAAGGAGCCTCAGTTGAGAAAATGCCTCCATGAGATCCAGCCTTAGGGTATTTTCTCAACTACTGATCAGCGGGGAGGGCCCAGCTCATTGTGGGTGAGGCCATCCCTTGGCTGGTGGTCCTGGGTTCTGTAAGAAGGCAGGTGGAGGAAGCCAGGGGAGCAAGCCAGTAAGCAGCACCCCTTGGAGGCCTCTGCATCAGCTCCTGCCTCCATGTTCCAGCCTTGTCTGAATTCCTGCCTGACTTCCTCCATTGATGGACTATGATCTGGAAGTGTAAGCCAAATAACCCCTTTCCTCCCAACTTGCTTTCTGGTCATGGGGTTTCATCACAGCCATAGGAACCCCTAACTAAGACAAACCTTTAATCCAGACCTAATTGGGGCTATGCCTTCTGCTAGAAGCCCTTATAAGGATGTGGAAGAAGTAAGCTTTCGCTCTTTGCCTGCTTGCTCTCCTCTTGCTGGAAAGCCCATCCCTCCACTGGCATTAGAGCCTGTTCCTTCCTGATCCCAGCATCTACTTAAAGCAGCTGAGACATCCACCCGATTTTCCGTGTAATGAATACATACACATATATGTACGTTTTCATGTTATAAATTCTGTTACTGTAGAGAATCTGACTCACACACCAGGGAGCACCCAAACACACAAATGGCCAAAAAGTGAAACTTTAAGCACCAATATGGAGCATCTAAGGTCTGGCTATAAAGAGCAAACTGCTGAACGAATATTAATAATTACTATTGATTCACAAAGCATTAATTTCTCCTTATGAAGTCTAAATATGCTCTTTTTACAGAGATATATATTTATTAACTTTGAGATAGTGCTTTTCTGTGTAGCCTGGGCTGTCCTAGATTTGCTCTGTAGATTAGGCTGGCCTCAAACTCAAAAGAAGACCTATCTGCTGTCTTTGTGTCCCAAGTATTAGGATCAAAGCCATCTATTTAATTAATTAAAATATTTTAATTATTAATTAATAATACTTGCACATGCTTTCCATTTCGGGTGGGGAGCAGCTCAGACAGGAATGGTTAAGACAAGTGGCACAGGACGTGTGCCTGGAGGACAGGAAGTAGCTTAGGGGTTGATATCTGCCCAGCTCCAGAGCATTAAGGCTTATTAAAAACTTAAGAGCTTTTCTTGTCTTTGATTTATATAATAGTGGGTTAAAGAATAACTGCCACTTAGTTAATAATCAACATTAAGTAATATAATAATTAATTCCATTGACATAGGTAATAATAATCATATGAATTAGGGGCACCATCTGTAGAATGATTATTAATAATTAATATTGAGTCATATTATGGTAAATCATTAATTCTTAACCACTGATTTCCCCAAAATAACCACACATAGAGACTATGATTTATTCGGAAGCTAAGCACAGAGCTGGGCATAAAATCTGATCCACTGCCCACTCTTCCTCTCATCCATGGTTCCCAATACTTGCATTTATTTATTTTTTTAAAGATTTATTTATTTATTATGTATACAGTATTCTGCCTGAATGTATGTGTGCAAGCCAGAAGAGGGTACCAAATCTCATTGTAGATGGTTGTGAGCCATCATGTGGTTGCCAGGAATTGAACTCAGGACCTCTGGAAGAGCAACCAGTGCTCTCAACCTCTGAGCCATCTCTCCAGCCCTACTTGCATTTATTATCTTCTCTGGAATCGGTCCTTTCTTCTGTCTTCACCTTTCTCCCTCCTCATGATCCTTCTTCAACCTTCACTGCCTCAAACCTTAGCTCCACCTACCACTCTTCTGCCCAGTCCAGGCTGTAGGCAACTTTATTATCCAATCAGGGATAATTTGTAGACAAGATTCACAAATGTCATTTTGGATACGTGAGAATTTGTTCATAGACACCAGCGGTCTTGGTGGGCAAGCAGTTAAGATTTGAATACTTAGCTCCAGATCAACCACAACATACAATTGTTTCTACAGGAGAAGAAAAACTCCAGATTGATAAAAGTAAGATCTGATAGGGGGAGACTTCCTGAAGATCTTGGCTGTAGACAAAAGGAAAGAAATCAAGAAGATCAAACAGGACAGGTAACACAATTTGCTGATCCCTCCACATGGGCACAGCTCTGAGATGGACCGAGAGGTGGAAATGTCTCCAGCCAAGATTTCAGCTATGCATAGCCAAGAAATCTTTGGCTGCAAAATCCTCAGAACTTATCATGCCATTCTTTTAAATGACATAGATAAAAATTTATTCTACAGCTTGGTTATACAGTCCAAACTAACTTATGTAGAAAAACAAATGCTTTACCCATTTGAACAGGGAGCAGAGACTCATTTTTAACTGAACTGTGTTCAGTACATAGTTCATGTATATAGTAATAAAATTATATAATACCTTTGAAAGTTTATATATTTTACAGAGGATAGGACACAGACAGACAGACAGACAAGTAGCCCAGATGATCCAACTTCACCGACAGCCTCAATAAGTGTTTCCTAAACAATCTGCATCCAGGACAATTTCTAAATGGCTACCCAGATCATCTAGCATCTCAGACTGTTCTAAGTCAGGACTTCAGTGAAGCTCTGAACTTTCTCAGAATTCAGAGACTGCGCAGCAAAAGTTACAGCTAGATTTCTTAAGACTGGACAATATCCAAATTTTCTTGCCCCCCCCCACAAAGAAAAACTATGTCCCAAGTAATCAGGAAGCAATTTAACAAACCTACACCACCACATTCCCAAGATGGGGGGATGGTTTTTGGTCATTTTATGGGTGATAGATGTTTGTTATGATTTAAAAGGGTTTGGTTGTAGGAATGATAAGTAAGAAGGTAGATTATTGAATCTGCTTTTATACCAAAGAGCATTAATAAGCCAAAAATTTTACATTGGCATAAATCTTTGTATTTTGTTACATATTTAATATTGTATTTGGTTACAAAATGCTAAGGTAGTGTACCTTTGTAAATTTAAAAATTGCATTGTTAAATTCTAGTCCTTTTGAAAGCTGCTATTACAAAATGTTTAGAGTAATTATGAAGTGCATGTTAGCAGTCAGACAACAAAATTCATGGTCATGTTAGATACTAGTTTAGGTAATTACGAAAACATGTTTCCTAGATTGACAGATAAGATAAATGGTCCTCAAAAACCTCAGAGATCTACAGACTATGGCATTTAACGATTTTATTAACTTAAGACCTCTTTTGACCATGAGACAGGCCTGCTCCTGGCAGCACCCCTCTTCTACTTCAGAGAGCATCTAAGGCTTCATAGTGGCAAGCTAGCCACTGGGTGAGAAAATGTCCTTCTGTCAACTACAGGCAGGATACTGTCCAAACTGGACAAAAGGCATGTGGGAAAATCGACTGCTGAGCTTTGCAAAAACAAAGAAGACAAGTCCCTTAGAATTCCTGCCTCACAGAAAGGTCTGTCAAATATTCTGAGCCAGAAGGCTGAAGGTGATGCTCCAACATTATAGAACTTTCAGGCAGCCCAATATCTCCGTCATTTCCATATGTTTGGAAGCTGCTTGCCTGCACTTCCTACATATTTAGGTAATATTTACTCCTTCTTAAGTCTCTGATGAGGTTGAAGACTAGATAGTGATAGTCTCACAGCTAAATTTAAATTGTTTAGGATGATGGAAATTGATAGATGGTAAAATACTTTATCCAAGAGTGCCAAATACACAGATGTAAATCTTACCTGATAATGTTCATAACTGTTATTATTACATATTGTAGAACTCTGCTGGATAAGGTTGAAGTCTGGGTGCATCTGGAGAGCCAAACTGATCTCAGCCCATTAAGATGGACTCCCTCTTCTCAGCAGGGTCTGTCTCGATTCCCCCCTGATGTGGGTAAGCCCAGGTCTTGTACAGAGCATCACATAGCCCTCAGAGAAGTACCACAGGCTCCGCCTTTCCTGATGAGAGACCGCGTTCAGCTAGCACCTGTGGATTCCTGGAGATGCCCAACCGATGCTAATAGTTGCCTTGGCGTCTTGACTCTCCAAATGACCTTTGACTTTACCTAAAGATTGTTCCCACCCGTAGGATGACTAAGTACTATAGTCTCCTCGTGATGGGACCGTGCTACTGCATGTAAACCAGGCACTGTACCACTACATGAAAATCATGTTTCCCTGGCCCTCTGACCCCACTGAATCAAACACATGTGTCCCCGAAACCCCTCCCACTGCCCAGGGTTTATAAATCCCGGATTTGAAATAAACATGTTGAGTGTGCTCACAGCCCGCCCGGCGCCGTGTGATATCAGGAGCCTTCCAACATGGTGGCCTGAGATTTCTCATTTATTCCGGGGGGGGGGGGGGGGCTTCCCTCCGCCTTGGAGATTTGCCACCTGACCTCCAGGGGCTTGGCAGGCCTCGTGGGGCTTCTGCCTGTCATGGCACTGTCTCCGCAGTCAGCCCTGCCTCTGGTCGGTTTCAGGGCTCTGTGGTGCTTAGCACAGCACTTAACCGGAGAGCTGTAACACTTCGGTATTGCCATAGGCTTTGGAATGCCCAAGTTTCTACTACCGCTGGCAAGCTCACCCTAAAAGAGCTAAATTGTAACACTCCATGGAAAACATTTCCACACCCCAGGCTAGCATGCCGGCCTCACCCTAAAGTGTTCTAGCTGCTCCTGAGAGACAGAAAACCTGATCCTGGGGTTGCTCTGTTCTCCATCCAGAAGCTGAGTTCCAGGCACCTGCCGAAATCCAGGCCCCTGCCAAATGGAGAACGGCTACATATAGGTTTTTATTTTTATTATTTTTCTTTTTAAAAAATTCTTTATTAATTACACTTTATTCACTTTGTATTCCCCTTGTGGTTCCCTCCCTCCTCTCCGTCCCAATCCCTTTCTTCCTCCACCCTCTGCATGCATGCCCCTCCCCAAGTCCACTGATAGGGGAGGTCTTCTTTTCCTTCCTTCTGAGATTTTACCATCAGAATGGCTAAGATCCAAAACTCAAGTGACAACACATGCTGGAGAGGTTGTGGAGAAAGGGGAACCCTCCTCCACTGCTGGTGGGAGTGTAAACTTGTACAACCACTCTGGAAAGCAATCTGGTGCTTCCTCAGACAACTAGGAATAATGCTTCCTCAAGATCCAGCCATACCACTCCTAGGTATATACCCAAAGGATGCTCAAGTACACAAGAAGGACATTTGCCCAACCATGTTTGTAGCAGCTTTATTTGTAATAGCCAGAAGCTGGAAACAGCCCAGATGCCCCTCAACTGAAGAATGGATACAGAAATTGTGGTACATCTATACAATGGAATATTACTCAGCAATAAAAAACAAGGAAATCATGAATTTTGCAGGTAAAAGGTGGGATCTGGAAAAGATCATCCTGAGTGAGCTATCCCAGAAGCAGAAAGATGCATACGGTATATACTCACTCATATAGACATATAATATAGGATAAACCTACTAAAATCTGTACACTTAAAGAAACTAATCAAGAGGAAGGACTCTGGCTAAAATGCTCAATCCCTAGCCAGAAAGGCAAAGGGGATGGACATCAGAAGAAGGAGAAAAGAGGGAACAAGTCAGGAGCCTGACACAGAGGACAGGTTTTTTTTTTTTTTTTTTTTTTTTTAAGAGGAAGAGCCTATTATTAGACTGAAAGAGGTAGGTGGAGGCATAAAGTTATTGTGCAATTCAAATGCCGATATCTGAACCTCCATATCTATTTGCAATCCTTGTTCTGAGAATCTCCTGCCTCAATGTTGCAAAAACACTGCTCCCCAGTTATTCCCTGATATGCTAATAAAGCAGTTTACAGCCAATTGCTGAGCATGCTGAGAATAGGGCTGGACTTCCTGCCAGCCAGGGGAGGAGTTAGAGAAGGAAGCAGAGGATTCATCCATAAGGAAAGGTCCAGGAGACGTCAGAAGAGATTTAGCTGAGCAGGCAAGGCCACAAAGTGCAAGTATTTCTGGGATATATTCTGGAAGGAAACCAGACTAGTTTAGGGAGTTAAAAACAGTTTAAAACTGCTCAGGATTTTGCTCTACGGCTTGTTAAAAAATAAGATAGCCTCAATTATTTGGGTGACAGCTGGGATAAAAGCAACGGAGAAGCAAACACAATTTTCTAAGAGTAGCTTTAGCAGCTACCACCTGGTTAAAAACCCACGGGACTGAGGGTACAATGCGTTGGCAGAGCACTGAACTTGAATCAGTTCTCACACTGTTAAGAAAAATGACGTTTCCAACACTTTAAGCATACTTGTGATTTTAATAACTATGTCCGATTCTTTTTTCCTTTTCCAGTTTTCATGTGGGTGCATTTTTTTTTTTTTGCACATGTTTTGGGGGTGCGCTCGCCTGTGAATTCGGACCCATGTTTGATCTTCCATTACTCTTTCACCACCTTAAGTCTCTAAATCAAAGTCAATGATTGCCAATACTTCCAATCTTGCTAGCCAGTGTCCTGTCGAGACACGGGGCTGTGCCCACTGGGTACGCCACACCCACCCGCAGCCACACCCACCCCAGCTTCTGTGGGTGTCTGAGGATTCAAGCTCCGGGCGTCCAGCCTGGCCAGTGCTGGAGCTGCAGAGCCGCCCATCTTCCCGCCCGGTTATGTGCAAGTTTCAACATAAAGCTTAATGAAAGCATTTTAGTTCCCAAAGTATGTGGCATTTCGAGAAGAAACTGCAATCTGGGGATGTCATTCATGCCTAGAGCGTGTGAGACCCTGGGTTCCGTCTTTATCGCCGTGTAAACTGGGCATGGTGGCACAGGGCACGCCCTCCGAGAACCACTGAGGTGGAGGCAAGAGGCTTAGATGCGCACGGCCATCTTCAGCCTGTGATGCCTGAGACCTTGTAAAACTCACACACACTCACACTCACACACACACACACACACTCACACATACACTCACACACACACTCACATATACACACACACTCTCATGCATACACACACACTCATTCACACACACACACACTCACACACACACACATACACTCACACACACTCACACACACTCACATACACACACACTCTCACAC